TGCTGGGCTGCAGCCCAGACCTGGGTTTTCCCTCTTCGTTAATCCTCACGGCATCCCGATTATCCCGGCGTGTGGCTCTCATCTCCTTATGAAGCCAACTGCGGGTCACTTCCAATCCGTCTACATCTGACATCATCCCAGTCAGCTCTCCCTCCCCCGGTCCTAAAAAACAAACAGGATGCTAACTTTGAGCTAACTCTGAAAACACAAGAGACCCGTAACATAAAAGAAAACAAAACAGTAATCTTGAGAACAGGCAGGCTGAAAATCTTAAGTGTGGCTGAGCTGTCAGGGGACAGACCAGTTCCTCTGCGGCTCAGAGCTCCAAGAACAGGATAAATTGTGACTCTGGCGGAAAGGAGGGGGCGCGGCTCCCCTTTCAGCCCACATCAGGCCACACAAGTACGCAAGACACCCTCAGGGCGAGGGCAGCTATGGTGTGACGGATGCTCTCTGCTCACTGACGGCTTCCGCAGCCCAACTAGGGAGGGGCAGGGATGGCCCATTACTCGGATGAGCAAGCGGAGGCTGGGTGACCTCAGGAAGTGCGCGCAGTGGCTCTGCAGCCAGGCTCGCCCACAGCCGGGTGGCAACTGACAGGCCCAGCAGAGCCGGCACAGGAGACACTGAGATGGACCAGCCTGGTCTCCGTGCTGCAGGGCCTCGGTGTAAGAGGGGAGGCGAGGAGGTCGGCAGAAAACCACATGGCCCATGGTGGCAGGACCCTAGGCACACCACTGTGGCCCACTTGGGAAAGGAGAACGTAAACCCACTGGGGCTCACTTCTTCTCCTGAAATTTCTGCGGAACAAAAGGACCAACAACCCTCATTTTCCAAACAGCAGGCTCCTGAAATCCCAAACGTTCAGAATTTGGTTCAGGACACCCAAGGGGAAGACGGAGGGGAAGATAAACCGGAGAACTCGTTGTCAAGTGATTAACTGCTCCCCCTGAAAACTCCAGTCCATCATCGCACCCCACAGACGTCCTCAAATGTGCAGTGTTCCAGGCTGTGGCTGTTAATTGCCACGCTGTGACAGCAAAAGACCAGTAGCAACTTACACACCCTAAGAGACCTTTAACAAACCACCCGTGGTCAGAGAAATACTAGGCAGTGAGTAAAAAGAATGCAGAAGTCCTCCATGCACCCTCAAGGCTTTCTCGCTAAGACACTGCTATGTGAAAATACAAGGTGCAAAACCCCGTGTGCGGTGTGCAATTACCTGGGTTCAGAACAGCATCCAGCACAAGAAGGAGGGCTTGCATATACACAGAATGAATCTGAAAGTACCACCAGAAAACAGTAGTGGGATGGCGTCTGGTCAAGGGCAAGGGCAGCCGGGGGGTGGGGTGAGAAGACTTCTTTTTCACTGTGCTCTCTCATGCTTGAGCTTTGCGCCACGTGCATCCAACAACATATTCTCAAAAACTAGAGGAGTGTGTTTTTTGAATTGTCTTGTAAATAATAGGTAAAACTCCAGTGGCGCCTGGGTGGCTCGGTCGGTTAAGCACCTGACTCTTGGTTTTGGCTCAGATCACGATCTCGTGGTTCATGAGTTCAAGCCTCACATCGGGCTTAGGATTCTCTCTCCCTCTCTCTCTGGCCTCCCCCACTCACTCATTTTCTCTCTCCCTCAAAACAAATATTTTAAATAAATAGAGAGGTAGATAGGTGAATGAATGAATGAATGAATGAATGAATAAATAAATAAATAAATAAATAAATAAATAAATAAATAAATAAAGGTAAAGCTCCAGCTGCTAGCATTCTCAGTACTTGGCATAAGGTAAATGCCTGATAAAGCATGAATCAATCAATCAATCAATCAATCAGTAAAGTGAAGCAGAGGAGTTCAGGATTCACCTAGAAAAGCTTCCAAGTTGTGCTCAAAGAGGAGCTGAAACAATGCCCATTCTGGAATCACCAGACTGCCCTAGAAGGAGCATTCAGCCTGGATTCTAAGGGCATTTCAATATTCGAGTATCTGAAAAACAGACCAGGAGGGAGCACAAAGCCTGTAAACTGTGGACACAGCAGAAAAGTGACGGGTGGCTTTTTTTCCTTTACATTTCCTTGTATTTTCTAGTTTCCTACAATAAGGATAGATATTACTCCCAAAATGATAGAAAAAGTAACACTAAAAGTTAAAGTTAAATAATCAAAGGAGTTTATTAAAAAAGCTGCACCTGGAGAAAACTTCTACAGGCTCTAAAACTGTCACTTTCTCAGTACCTATTACATTGATAAGTTTTGGACAGAGATCTACCCCCACAACTCATAAATTTTTCCAAATGTTTTTCCAAAAACTGGATAGCTGTGAAGGGAGGATCTATTTTGTAAAAAGACCCTTGCTCACCAGAAGCCTAAGGAGAACACAGCCTGGAGGAATTTTAAATGCTCACTTACAAAACAAACTAGCCTTTCAGGACAGGAGGGAGAGCAATCAGGGAAAACTTCCGGGAGGAGGCGGCATTGGCCATTTGGAAGACAACTGAAGGGAAACTACAGACCAACACCAGGGAGGAGAGATTAAAGAGGAATAACATGAGGAGTGCCCCCCTTCCCAAAAGGGAGTGTGGGAGCATAAGATCCACTACGAGGAGTGGGCAGGGGCAATGAGAAGTGGACAGAAGATGTGAGCAAGGCCCAGAGGCCCAGAATATCACAGCGCAGCCTGGCCTTTACCCTGTGGGTCCCAAATACCAGGGTGGATGACTAAGAATCACCACTGGGGTTTGTCAAAAATACCTATTCAAGGTCTAGTCCTGCAGACTCTGATTCCGGAGGTCTAAGGTCTAAGGCCAGGGAGGGATTCGGGGTTTGTTCAAGCCCCAGCTGTTGCTCAAGGGGCAGCCAGGTGTGAGAAGCAGCAACAGCTTGTGCTTGAGGAGTAGCAGGACCAGACTGGGGGAGGGGAGGCGGGGAGGTGTTCATTCAGGTGCAGCCCTTCCAGGTCTCGGGATAGGACTAAAGGACATGCAAGAACTACAATAGCTGTGACACTCATAGTCTGGGCACAGCAGGCCAAGGTCACGTGCCAGCGCCAGCCGAGGACGGAGAGCACACTGCATGACGATGGTCAACTCTTCCATTTTCCCGACCATGGTCATGCCAGCAGGTGATCAGAAACCCAGAACTGAGCTGAGTGACAGCTCAGGGCTCAGAAAATGCAATCAGGGAGGCAGGTGAAAGGTAAGAGGTGGGGTGCGTCCCTAAGAGGAGACCATGGAACCAGACCTCACTGTACCTGTGCCTCAGTTTCCCCATCTGTCAGGTGAGAAGAATCCTGCAACTCACCTCACAGGGCTATTGGGGCCCACACTAGGAATGTGGGCTTCGGTTACTTTGCTCTGTACTACCCTCCAGCCTTCCAGAACTATCCCTCCTTGATCTCACGTGATTCTGATAAGCAAGCAAACCACGCAGGGGAGGGCCGCACCCTCTCCAGGGGTGGCACGTGGCCTGGCACCTCGGTAAGATGAAGGGCAGGAACAGGACCTGAGCCAGGCCAGTCCTGGTCCCTGCCAGGACAGGTCCTGGGGGACTGTCCACAGCACAAAGAACATGGCCAGGAGCATTGGCACGCCGTCACCTCTCTGTGGCCAGACTCACAAGGAGGAGCCCGCACCAGAAGAAAAAGCCATAACCCTCTTGCTGGAGCTCCACACCCGATCCAGCCGGCCTGGAGCCTGTCCTCTCCAGACTTGCATTTGCACATTATCTGCTTAAGCCAGTTTACCCTGAGTCTCTGTCACTGGTCACTGTCTTGCTTACTACAGCAGGTGCTCAGTAAGTGACAACAGCTACCACTTCCTGAAGATGACAAAACTACCCGGATGATCCAGCATGGGAGGAAAGGAGACAACAAAGGGGCCCAATGAAGAGGGTCAAAAGCAGGAGAAACAGAAGGTCCCAGAAGCCAGGGAGGCAGAACACCTAGACGGAGAAGCGTCCACGAACCCACACCGCAAGGAGGCCACCACAAGGAGGCCACATAAGGCCTGGGCCTTGGCCACTGCATATGGCACTAGGAAGGGTAACACAGGATATCTTGGGACGACGACTCCCATCAAGCGGCAGGCCTGCCTCACTGCAGAGCAGGGCCCTGTAGAAACCAGCAGCAGACACGGACCTGGGTCTCAGCTTTCCTATCTGGTAAATGGGTGTGATCCTTCTGGCCCAACAGAACCTTCTAGGGCAGGTGTAAGACCTGACGACTGCAGACATGTGTGTAAAGCACAGGAGATGGTGAATCAGCAAGGGAGAGAGAGAGGGTGATGCTGAGACACAGAGGTGCCCTCTCACTAGTAAGGAGAGAAAAGCCTGGTGGTGACAGCCAGAACTGCAGGCACTCAGAGAGAGCAGAGTGGCAATCAAATAATTCAGTCTGTCAAAAAAGGGGACGCTTGGGCTCATCAAGAACTGCTTTCGGGGCACCTGGGTGGCTCAGTCTGTTGAGGGTCCAACTTCAGCTCAGGTCATGATCTCATGGTTCTCTGCTGTCAGCATGGAGCCTGCTTCGGATCTTCTGTCCCTCTCTCTGTCCCTCCCCGTTTGTTCTCTCTCTCTCTCTCTCTCTCTCTCAAAAATAAACATTAAAAAAAAAAAAAAAGAACTGGTTTCTTGCAATCTGCCAGGGCACAGTCACTTGCCTCCTACCTAGACACAGCTGAGGACTGGCCACAGGGGGCAAGCTGCTATTGAAAGGAGCCCTACAGGATAACCCAGCTGCGGAGGGAGGCCAGGCCTCCTTGGAGCAATTTCATAGCAGAGGGAATCAACCCGGAAACGCAGGCTCCCTCCCACCGACAGGGGAGGAGAAAGACGCTGCACCTGCACCCAGAGCTGAAAACCACTTAGAGACGGGAAGTGTGTAATTATTCAAGTGGAAAGCCAGGCACACGCTCATCCAAGCCATTTGTAGCACAGTTTGGTAACTGCCAGATTTTAGGAGCCCCGAATAATAACGCCCTTTAACACCCACGAGGCAGGCAGGCAACCTCCCCGCTTCCTGCCTCCTTCCTCCCCCCAGAGGGTAGGCCCCGGAGTGCCTCCGGAGGACTTGGGGTTCCCTGAATAGGCAGCGGGGCCTCTTCCCTCACCAGTGTGCACAGAGGGACATGCCTCCCACTGCCTCAAGTGCAGCCCCAAGGTCACCCAGCTAACCCCACTTGAGGTCAGTTCCTTAGGAACCTTCCTTCCTTGGCTCCCAAACTCCTCAGAGTCCCCGGAACCCCAGCACTGAGCGCAGACCTTAGAGGCTGCCTGGCTCCGTGTCGCTGACTCCTACCAGGCTAAGGGCACTGCAGTGGACGTTAATGGTGGCCACCACTGCTGGCGGTTCTGCTGGGCGCTCCCTTGGCCCCACGGCCCCCACCAAATTAGGCATGGCCACGCGGCTCGCTTTGGCCAATGAAATGCGCACAGAAGTGACCCATGTCATTTCCAAGCAGACACTTTCAACTGCCAGTGTCCAACTCCGCAGCCAGTCCTCCAGGACATCCTCGTGGGAGCACGAGGACGCAGATGGCCCCCAAAGCTGGCCCAGACCCACTCCTGAAAAGAAAACCTGACCGAGTGGCAACAAAGCCAGGCTGGGAACCAGAAGGAAACTGTTAAGAGGACCTTCCGCTAGCGGCTGTTCTCCACTGGGGCAATTTTACTTCCAGGAGACGTTTAGCAACACCTGGAGACATTTCTGATGGTCACATGAGGGGAAGGCCTACTGCCATCCAGAGGGTAGAGGCCCTACAATGCACAGCCCCCTAGAACAAGGACCCTCCAGCCTTAACTGTCCACGGTGCCACGGCTGAGAAATGCCGGGGTGTGGAGACCAGCACGGAGCCACCGGACTATGAACGAGCTAGAAATAAATCTATTGTCGCAAACTTCTTGGGGTTGTTTTTGCAGCCTATCCTGACCAATAAACACCCCTTGAAGAAACAGGGCTTGTGGCCTCTGTCTACACCCCAAATTCTGAGCACAACACCTGACACGTAGCATTTGGAGGTGCAGCATAAAGGCACTGGGGGGGAAAGCAGCACAAGTCCTTCTCATGAAACCCTCCCAGGAGGGACCCCATTTTCTAAACCCGCCTGAGCCTGACAAAACTCTGTGCTTTGCACGAACTGTTCTCTCTGCCTGCCATGCCCTTCCTCCCCTGGCAAACTCTTGCTCAGCCATCAAAAACAGCTCAAACATCACTCCTGCTGAAGGCTGTTCCCCTGCCCCTTCCCAGGGGCAGAAATGACGGCTCCTTAGCCATACAGCCATCTGATACTTAGAACTGCTCTGTGCTCCGTTTCAGACCAGGAGCCTCCACCCCCAAGGGCAGGGACTGTGTTATTTATTTCAGCACCCTGCCCACCGTGGACCCTCAACCTGGCAGGAGCCCTGCAAGCTCTTCCTGAATGGATGTCCCAGCCTCCCGGTGCCAAGGCTCTGACCCTGAGCCATCCCTGCCCATCTGCTTCTGCGGCAGTCTGGTTCACTTGCTGATGGTCTTGTAACTTGGATTTCCCTCTTATTACAATGCCAGAAACTGAAATGGCCCGATATAAAGGCAACATACGAACAGGATTTCAAAGCCAGTACAAACATTTGAATTGTTTGGACAGCTCCAGCAAAGAACCAGATAAAGTGGAAGCTGCCATATGTCTTTTTTTTTTTTTTTTTTCTCCTTGGGGTGGGGGGGGAGGAGAAGGGAGAGCCATTCCCCTGACTGGACAGCCACCACCCCTCCTAACTGAAGACCTGCCCCCATACTAGGTGCCCCACCTGGAGGAGACAGGCAGGCCACAGGTTCCTCACAGTGCAGACACTGTAGCGTGAGTCAGCGTGTTCTTTCAGACCTAGGACAAACCCAAGGGGTCCCTGGAAGCAGCTTTCCCTCAGGAACCCAAGAGGTGGGCGAGAGGCAGGGCTAGTGACTCACCTCCCCAGCTCCTCCTGGAGGAAAGCAGAACCGCCAGGGCTAACTGGCACATGACAGCACAAATCCCACCCCTAACTTTCAGGATAGGGAAACTGAGGCGGGGGGTGGGGGGCTAGATATCCCCCAAGGAAGTGCATCCAAAGTGTCATCATTTCAGGGGCAGCTGGACGGCTCAGTCGGTTAAGCATCGGACTCTTGATTTCGGCTCAGGGCATGATCTCACAGTTCGTGGGATGGAGCCCCACGTCGGGCTCTGTGCGAACAGTGTGGAGCTAGCTTGGGATTCTCCCTCTCTCTCTCTCTCTCTCTGCCTCTCCCGTGCTCGTGGTTTCTCTCTCTCTCAAAACAAATTTTAAAAATAAATTTTTTTTAAAGTGTCACCATTTCAGATCACTCCAACTTTTCATCTGAAAACAAATGTTGAGACCCCTTAACGGCACTCAACACATTCTGGCTTTTTTTTTTTT